GGGGGGGGGGGGGGGGGGGGGGGGGGGGGGGGGGGGGGGGGGGGGGGGGGGGGGGGGGGGGGGGGGGGGGGGGGGGGGGGGGGGGGGGGGGGGGGGGGGGGGGGGGGGGGGGGGGGGGGGGGGGGGGGGGGGGGGGGGGGGGGGGGGGGGGGGGGGGGGGGGGGGGGGGGGGGGGGGGGGGGGGGGGGGGGGGGGGGGGGGGGGGGGGGGGGGGGGGGGGGGGGGGGGGGGGGGGGGGGGGGGGGGGGGGGGGGGGGGGGGGGGGGGGGGGGGGGGGGGGGGGGGGGGGGGGGGGGGGGGGGGGGGGGGGGTGGGGGGGGGGGGGGGGGGGGGGGGGGGGGGGGGGGGGGGGGGGGGGGGGGGGGGGGGGGGGGGGGGGGGGGGGGGGGGGGGGGGGGGGGGGGGGGGGGGGGGGGGGGGGGGGGGGGGGGGGGGGGGGGGGGGGGGGGGGGGGGGGGGGGGTGGGGGGGGGGGGGGGGGGGGGGGGGGGGGGGGGGGGGGGGGGGGGGGGGGGGGGGGGGGGGGGGGGGGGGGGGGGGGGGGGGGGGGGGGGGGGGGGGGGGGGGGGGGGGGGGGGGGGGGGGGGGGGGGGGGGGGGGGGGGGGGGGGGGGGGGGGGGGGGGGGGGGGGGGGGGGGGGGGGGGGGGGGGGGGGGGGGGGGGGGGGGGGGGGGGGGGGGGGGGGGGGGGGGGGGGGGGGGGGGGGGGGGGGGGGGGGGGGGGGGGGGGGGGGGGGGGGGGGGGGGGGGGGGGGGGGGGGGGGGGGGGGGGGGGGGGGGGGGGGGGGGGGGGGGGGGGGGGGGGGGGGGGGGGGGGGGGGGGGGGGGGGGGGGGGGGGGGGGGGGGGGGGGGGGGGGGGGGGGGGGGGGGGGGGGGGTGGGGGGGGGGGGGGGGGGGGGGGGGGGGGGGGGGGGGGGGGGGGGGGGGGGGGGGGGGGGGGGGGGGGGGGGGGGGGGGGGGGGGGGGGGGGGGGGGGGGGGGGGGGGGGGGGGGGGGGGGGGGGGGGGGGGGGGGGGGGGGGGGGGGGGGGGGGGGGGGGGGGGGGGGGTGGGGGGGGGGGGGGGGGGGGGGGGGGGGGGGGGGGGGGGGGGGGGGGGGGGGGGGGGGGGGGAGGGGGGGGGGGGGGGGGGGGGGGGGGGGGGGGGGGGGGGGGGGGGGGGGGGGGGGGGGGGGGGGGGGGGGGGGGGGGGGGGGGGGGGGGGGGGGGGGGGGGGGGGGGGGGGGGGGGGGGGGGGGGGGGGGGGGGGGGGGGGGGGGGGGGGGGGGGGGGGGGGGGGGGGGGGGGGGGGGGGGGGGGGGGGGGGGGGGGGGGGGGGGGGGGGGGGGTGGGGGGGGGGGGGGGGGGGGGGGGGGGGGGGGGGGGGGGGGGGGGGGGGGGGGGGGGGGGGGGGGGGGGGGGGGGGGGGGGGGGGGGGGGGGGGGGGGGGGGGGGGGGGGGGGGGGGGGGGGGGGGGGGGGGGGGGGGGGGGGGGGGGGGGGTGGGGGGGGGGGGGGGTGGGGGGGGGGGGGGGGGGGGGGGGGGGGGGGGGGGGGGGGGGGGGGGGGGGGGGGGGGGGGGGGGGGGGGGGGGGGGGGGGGGGGGGGGGGGGGGGGGGGGGGGGGGGGGGGGGGGGGGGGGGGGGGGGGGGGGGGGGGGGGGGGGGGGGGGGTGGGGGGGGGGGGGGGGGGGGGGGGGGGGGGGGGGGGGGGGGGGGGGGGGGGGGGGGGGGGGGGGGGGGGGGGGGGGGGGGGGGGGGGGGGGGGGGGGGGGGGGGGGGGGGGGGGGGGGGGGGGGGGGGGGGGGGGGGGGGGGGGGGGGGGGGGGGGGGGGGGGGGGGGGGGGGGGGGGGGGGGGGGGGGGGGGGGGGGGGGGGGGGGGGGGGGGGGGGGGGGGGGGGGGGGGGGGGGGGGGGGGGGGGGTGGGGGGGGGGGGGGGAGGGGGGTGGGGGGGGGGGGGGGGGGGGGGGGGGGGGGGGGGGGGGGGGGGGGGGGGGGGGGGGGGGGGGGGGGGGGGGGGGGGGGGGGGGGGGGGGGGGGGGGGGGGGGGGGGGGGGGGGGGGGGGGGGGGGGGGGGTGGGGGGGGGGGGGGGGGGGGGGGGGGGGGGGGGGGGGGGGGGGGGGGGGGGGGGGGGGGGGGGGGGGGGGGGGGGGGGGGGGGGGGGGGGGGGGGGGGGGGGGGGGTGGGGGGGGGGGGGGGGGGGGGGGGGGGGGGGGGGGGGGGGGGGGGGGGGGGGGGGGGGGGGGGGGGGGGGGGGGGGGGGGGGGGGGGGGGGGGGGGGGGGGGGGGGGGGGGGGGGGGGGGGGGGGGGGGGGGGGGGGGGGGGGGGGGGGGGGGGGTGGGGGGGGGGGGGGGGGGGGGGGGGGGGGGGGGGGGGGGGGGGGGGGGGGGGGGGGGGGGGGGGGGGGGGGGGGGGGGGGGGGGGGGGGGGGGGGGGGGGGGGGGGGGGGGGGGGGGGGGGGGGGGGGGGGGGGGGGGGGGGGGGGGGGGGGGGGGGGGGGGGGGGGGGGGGGGGGGGGGGGGG